CAATTGCATTTTTCTTTCCCCTGGAGGAGCCTGGGATTCCCCCCTAGGATATGGTAGCACCAGAAGACGAACAAAATCAAGCAGCATTGGCACGGCAGAGCATGCTCCCCCTTCTCAGATGGCGGGCAGGGTCAGCTTGTGTCCAGGCTTCAGGCAACGGGGTTCTTCTACCCCTAACCCTGCCACCAACCACCTGTGTGACTGAAGACCCCTTATCCCCTCTGAGCCTCGGATTTTTGTTAAATAAGCATGATAATCTTTACCTTAAAGGAGAGTGCTGAGGATGAAATGTGATCAACTTTGTAAAGCACTTTATGATTTGTAGATGCATGATACAAATGTAGGGAGCTCTTGTCTCCCAGCTGGGTTTGGATGCATGCCCAAATGTCCCCCTATACAAAAGGCCAGTGTCCACTTAACCTTAACATGTGAGGCTCTGTCAGACTTAGGAATTAAGCTTCTCATTTTCTCTCTGTTCCTCCCCTTGGGCCACTGTTTCCCAATCCTCAAGCTCATGGTTAATGCTCATTATGTGATTGCTAATATTACTACTTGGAATTGAAATATTAAAGTGGAGCAGTATTGATTCAATGTACCATTCAATAAACCCATTGATGTTAACATAAATACTTTTACAAAAATAACTATTTTCTGAAAAAAAGTTAAATATAGTGAGAATGGCATTTTTAATATTTTTTTTGCAAATCTCTTTAATGTCGAACTTAATAGAACAACTGGATTCTTATATTTGATCCCACATTAAATCTGTTGTAAATATTGTTGTCATTGAAGAATGTGAGGACATCCTCATTCATTCTTCACATTCTGCCTGACAGGTTATGTAATGGAAAAGATGAGTTTTAATAGACTTCAGATAACCATGGATATCCCTCCTTGATAGTACATTAAAATTCAACAAGTGGTAGCTTTGTAAAGGTTAGTTGCAATGTGGAATCTAAAACCACGTGATTAGTAAACTTTTTATTCTCCATTACACTAAAATCCATTCATCTGTTTTGTATTTTGAATGGATTTTTTGCCCATTTGTGATTTTGTTGCTTCACTGTCATTTGGAAAATACTGGTTCACCGAGTTATTCAGATGTTGTGAATGTTGACACATTTCATTATACAACATCACACATGGTTGTCTATATCTACCTTGGTATTTAATTTTCATAGAAATTCTTTTACTTGAAGTTTACTTGAAAGCTCAAATGTCATTGTCAACAAATACTGCCAATTTTTTTAAGTGACTGGCTCACTTTGTGTATTTTCAGGAAAATCCCCAAATATGGAAAATCAGTTTGTCAGTTGTAACTCTTAAAAGGTTTTTTTTTTCTTACCTTTTGACCACCTTCACTCATTTCTTAAACAAGAAAAAAGCAGCTACTTCAGCTCATCAAATAACTATACAATGTTTTTTCTCAGAATAACTACTATACTTCAGTATGTGTAAGTGTTTTATGTGTAAACTCCCCATTTTATCACACATACTAAAATGACAGGTCCTCAGGGATGAGTATTTAAAATGAATCACAGGCCTAAATATAAAACAAAACTATGTTAACACTTATAACAGGAAATCTATGTAACTTTGGGTATGGTGATGACTTTTTAGACACAGAACAAAAGGCACAATCAATGAAAGAAATAACTTATTAGCTGGGATTCATTAAAATTAAAAACTTTTGTTCTACAAAAGACACTATCAAGAGATGAGAATATAAACCAAAACTGGGAGAAAATATTCACAAAATACGATAAATTGTTATCCAAAATATACAAAGAACTAACAATAGTTCTACTAAACAAATGAACAACCTGATTAAAAAAAACAGGCAACAAGCTTAACAGATATCTCACAGAATACATACAGATGGCAAATAAGCGTATGGAAAGATGCTCAACATTCACGTCATTAGAGAAATGCAAATTAAAACGAGGTATCACCACTTACTTACCTATTAGAATGCCCAAAATCCAAAACACAGAACATTATCACATGCTGGCAAGGGTGTAGAGCAACAGAAACTTTCATTCATTGCTTTTGGGAATGCAAAATGGTAGAGCCGCTTTGGAAGATGGTTTGACCGTTTCTACAAAACTAAACATACTCTTACCATGCAATCCAGCAATCAGGCTCCTTGCTGTTTACTCAAATGAGTTAAAAACTCATATCCACACAAAAACCTGCATTACTGTTCATAGCACTTTACTTACAATTACTAAAACTTGGACAACATAAACTGTGGTACATGCAAATGAGGTATTATTTTCTCCCACTCTGTGGGTTGCTTTATCACTGTCGACAATGTCCTTTGATGCACATTTTAAATTTTTATGAAATCCAATTTAGTTTTTCTTTTGTTGCCCATTCAAGAAATCATTGGCAAATCAAATATGAAGCTTTCACCATTTTCTTAAGAGTTTAATATTTTTAGCTCTTAATGTTTAAGTCATCTGGGTTTGGATGCATGCCCAAATGTCCCCCTATACAAAAGGCCAGTGTCCACTTAACCTTAACATGTGAGGCTCTGTCAGACTTAGGAATTAAGCTTCTCATTTTCTCTCTGTTCCTCCCCTTGGGCCACTGTTTCCCAATCCTCAAGCTCATGGTTAATGCTCATTATGTGATTGCTAATATTACTACTTGGAATTGAAATATTAAAGTGGAGCAGTATTGATTCAATGTACCATTCAATAAACCCATTGATGTTAACATAAATACTTTTACAAAAATAACTATTTTCTGAAAAAAAGTTAAATATAGTGAGAATGGCATTTTTAATATTTTTTTTGCAAATCTCTTTAATGTCGAACTTAATAGAACAACTGGATTCTTATATTTGATCCCACATTAAATCTGTTGTAAATATTGTTGTCATTGAAGAATGTGAGGACATCCTCATTCATTCTTCACATTCTGCCTGACAGGTTATGTAATGGAAAAGATGAGTTTTAATAGACTTCAGATAACCATGGATATCCCTCCTTGATAGTACATTAAAATTCAACAAGTGGTAGCTTTGTAAAGGTTAGTTGCAATGTGGAATCTAAAACCACGTGATTAGTAAACTTTTTATTCTCCATTACACTAAAATCCATTCATCTGTTTTGTATTTTGAATGGATTTTTTGCCCATTTGTGATTTTGTTGCTTCACTGTCATTTGGAAAATACTGGTTCACCGAGTTATTCAGATGTTGTGAATGTTGACACATTTCATTATACAACATCACACATGGTTGTCTATATCTACCTTGGTATTTAATTTTCATAGAAATTCTTTTACTTGAAGTTTACTTGAAAGCTCAAATGTCATTGTCAACAAATACTGCCAATTTTTTTAAGTGACTGGCTCACTTTGTGTATTTTCAGGAAAATCCCCAAATATGGAAAATCAGTTTGTCAGTTGTAACTCTTAAAAGGTTTTTTTTTTCTTACCTTTTGACCACCTTCACTCATTTCTTAAACAAGAAAAAAGCAGCTACTTCAGCTCATCAAATAACTATACAATGTTTTTTCTCAGAATAACTACTATACTTCAGTATGTGTAAGTGTTTTATGTGTAAACTCCCCATTTTATCACACATACTAAAATGACAGGTCCTCAGGGATGAGTATTTAAAATGAATCACAGGCCTAAATATAAAACAAAACTATGTTAACACTTATAACAGGAAATCTATGTAACTTTGGGTATGGTGATGACTTTTTAGACACAGAACAAAAGGCACAATCAATGAAAGAAATAACTTATTAGCTGGGATTCATTAAAATTAAAAACTTTTGTTCTACAAAAGACACTATCAAGAGATGAGAATATAAACCAAAACTGGGAGAAAATATTCACAAAATACGATAAATTGTTATCCAAAATATACAAAGAACTAACAATAGTTCTACTAAACAAATGAACAACCTGATTAAAAAAAACAGGCAACAAGCTTAACAGATATCTCACAGAATACATACAGATGGCAAATAAGCGTATGGAAAGATGCTCAACATTCACGTCATTAGAGAAATGCAAATTAAAACGAGGTATCACCACTTACTTACCTATTAGAATGCCCAAAATCCAAAACACAGAACATTATCACATGCTGGCAAGGGTGTAGAGCAACAGAAACTTTCATTCATTGCTTTTGGGAATGCAAAATGGTAGAGCCGCTTTGGAAGATGGTTTGACCGTTTCTACAAAACTAAACATACTCTTACCATGCAATCCAGCAATCAGGCTCCTTGCTGTTTACTCAAATGAGTTAAAAACTCATATCCACACAAAAACCTGCATTACTGTTCATAGCACTTTACTTACAATTACTAAAACTTGGACAACATAAACTGTGGTACATGCAAATGAGGTATTATTTTCTCCCACTCTGTGGGTTGCTTTATCACTGTCGACAATGTCCTTTGATGCACATTTTAAATTTTTATGAAATCCAATTTAGTTTTTCTTTTGTTGCCCATTCAAGAAATCATTGGCAAATCAAATATGAAGCTTTCACCATTTTCTTAAGAGTTTAATATTTTTAGCTCTTAATGTTTAAGTCATTCATTTATTTTGAGTTAATTTTTGTATATGGTATAAGGTAAGGGTCTAATTTCATTCTCTTGCATGTGGATATACAAGCTGCCCCAACATTTACTGAAAAGGCTGCCTTTCCTCACTGACATACCTTGGCACCCTTGTCAAAAATCATCTTACCATACATGCAAGGGTTTATTTCTGGGCTCTATATTCTATTCCATTGGTCTGTATGTCAGTCTTTGTGCCTTTACCACACAGTTTTGATTACTGTAGCTTTGTACTAAGAGTTTCCTTACTTTTGAAATACTCTCTTTCTAGCTCATGCTGAGTTCTTTAACCCCTTCAGGTGCTGCCTGAAGAAACTGCCACCCTCTGTAGTACCAAAATTTAACCAGGGACAACTGCGCATCACGTCCATTCAATATGGTTTGTACTTTCTTTAGAAAAGAAAAGGCAGAGTAGCTGGAGTAAAACTGTATGCCTTTATTCAACATAAAATGAGTCATTAAAATACAGCTTGTCTATGTGCAGAAACATTATTATACATTCAATTCTGAAGAAGGTAGCTTGATACGACAAATTAAGGAACAGTCTAAAAGTGAGAGGAATAAAGACAATAGTGAGGAGCTAAAAGGGAAAGTTTTATGTCAAAGTGCTAAGGCCTATGTGCACAAAGATTTTAAAGTGAACAAGACCAACATAAGGCCATTTTTTCCTTTCCGATTTCTCTTGGTGCTGGTGAAAGTCTTAAGGTGTGGTGCAATGAGTCACAGAATTAAGATGGGTTTTTAAAAAATAGGTCATAACACTTATGGCTAAGAGCTTTTAATTTCTACCTTTATTTGTCATGTAGTCAAGATTTTTCATGGGACTCTAGAAATTTCATGAGTTCTCTAAAAACAAACTTGCCCTTCAATCAGTAATTTGTTATCAGAAAACAAATTCTCAGGTTCTTCCCAGCCCAGATATTATCTTCTTATGCAACAAAGGGGAAAACCATTTGAGACTCTCGAAGTTTCATTAATGTAAAGCTTGTGCAAAGTGATTAAATATAGGCTCAGTTGGGGTCACTATTGAAATCTTCAAATTGCAATGGCATGAAAGCCTAATGAGCATTACTGACTCAGGGTCAGAGTCCAACTCCATAATTTCCAAGGTGCTACTGTCTGAAAACATCAGACACTAGTTTTTGAAAGGAACTAACCCAAGAAACAAAGTTTTATGTACCACAATTTGCTTAGGAAGGACATAGTCTATGTGTGAAATAACAGTTCTAAAGTATCTTCAGATGTTTTATTAACATTAAATGCACGGTTTCTTATTGGGCTACTCTGAAACTTTAAATATTTAAAAGCAGGATCCATGGTTAAAGTTAATATTAAGTGTTGACTCAAGTTGGTTTAACAGTGCTCATGAGCCAACGTCTGTGTCACATAACAGGTACACAACCGTAAGCCCTGATCAGTGGCAAAAGCTGCCAGTAGGTAATTCCACAGAAAACTGTTACCTTGTCCATAAAATGTCCCAAATCAAATTCTATGTTGCACTCATGGTCATTTAACATTATAGGAACCCAAAACCTTAAAAAAATATATTCAGTAAAAGGGTAAATTAAAAATAATTCAAAGTTTACTTAAATCTAACTTAAATCCAATCTTGGGTTTACCTTTCTTTTCCCCCAGGCATATTCTAGGTTTTTCAGTCAAGATGAAAGTCAGGAAGTTCTAAAATTTCCTCTAGCCTCTTTTGAGTTTAAAGAACCAGGAAAATTGAGTTTCAAGTCATTCTTCAGAAGAACCCGCTGTCTAGTCATAGCCCATCTCCAAGGCTGACCATTTTTGGCTCTCTTCAAGTTCACTGTTCACTGTACTTCCTGTTATAAGGAAATCTCCCTAGGGATTCCCTTTTAGATTAAGGCTGACAACTATATGGAAGTACAGAGATTCCTTGGAGAAGCTCTATGAAAGAAACCCAATCTGCTGTGTAAGGTCACCAAGTATTAGGAAAATCCAGGATATCCACTTTCTACTTCTTTTGACAGAGTTGAGTCTCCTTTACATAGTGAATACACCTAATACCTCTTTGACTGAAAAGTGAACATGAATATTTTGGCATACCGAACTTGAGTTGCAAATCCAATAATCCAGGTTAAAGATTAACGATAAGGAAAATTCAAGAATAAGTATTGACAAAAAATGATTTGTCCTGTTAAAATGTTTCTATCAGTCTTAAAATAGGAATTAGGATTTAGGCCACTAAAAGGGCTCAAGTCCTACTGAAACATCTTTTAATCCAAGTTCTGTGAATTATGAGATAGAAAAAAAACCCAATTGACAATATTAGAATAAAGAACACGAAATAACTTTATCCATTGTGGAGAAAGAAACAGGGGTGCAGTGTCTCCTTAACGATTGAGAACAAAGGGATACACTTCCTTCTCATAACAGACAAGCTGAAAATTGTTCTTTCATCCCTGTTAGCTTCTTTTGGGTTTGAACAGAGCAGGAAGCTGCACTGTTTACTGGACTGTTATTTGAAGGGGTTAGTAAGACAAGAGCATCTTTACTGACATTCTGACCAGATTAATCAGAAAGGAGTGGCCTGGTCCCCGCTCTTCAATCTAGTTATTTACAAGAGATTTCTTGAAATTTTTATTAACAACTCTAGTTCTTCTAGTGGTAGTTGTCAAAAAAGGTAAATTTTGTTAACATGGCTCACTTTCACATTGCTTCATCTAGGGGCAATGCTTTTGCTAATGCATGTTTTGCTATTGTGTTTTGCCCAATGGATGAAATGCTTCTATTCCATATGAATTTATACTTAAACTTCCAACATGTCTTGAAAAATATGTGGTATATATTACTTCTTGAGTCCTGAACTAGACACACACTCTATGGTTTATACTTTAGGAAGACCTTTTATAGTTTAGATAGCTGCTTGTTTACTCCTGCAAAACCAGAACTTTAGTGTTTAGCACATAGTAGGTGCTCAATATATATTTGAACTAGTAACATGATTTATACACAAAAACTGCTGGAAACATGCAAAATCTCTGATTTCTGAAGACCACTTGTGGTCAAGTAGTGTCAAAAGGAATGAACACAGGTTTCTAGGTCTATGATGTAAAAATAAAGGAAATGTTGGGGATCTAAGTTGAAGTTGTGTTCTAGTATATTGTTCTTTCTCTTTCAACTGCAGAACAATTATACCTTTAGGCTCCTATGTCATTACCTGCATATGAAATTTACTTCTGATGAGGTAGGAGGCCCATTTAAATAATGACAAATATGTTCCAGAAATGGGAAGTGTCTTTGTAAATGGTCATCATGGACTGGTTCACACACATTTAAATATCTCACCTTCATTCCTACCTGTTATATATGAGAATTATGATACAGATGTTCTCTGAGACTTAAGAAACTTCCTTTAGATAGCATTACTTTCAACAAAAATTTCAAAGCTGTTCTCTTGGACAGCTACACTATCTTCAATGTCTTTGGGCAACTCTGATGCTTGAAATTTCAATTTTTGAAAAATCAGAAGGCTGTCTTTTAAAAAGCATTCTATATATCCTCATTTTCAAAACGTGCTGTTTTTATCAGTGAAAATAAGCAGCTGAGCAATTATGGAGACAATTAGAGAACTACAATAAAAAGTCAGTTTGATGGGTCATTAAGACACACTCTTGAAATTCTGACCTTACTAACTTTTCTTCAGATCATGAGTAAGTCAAATATTCATTTTTAAAGAATGGGCTCTATGCCTTTATTTTTAAAGACTATCTAGGTATCATTTTACTTCCTCAATCATATCCTAAAGCCAAGTATTTATAACCACAGAATTACTTCTTTTGGACAGCAGTAGCCCAGATCACCTCTAGATATGGGCCTATGGGCAATTAACCCCTCCTAATATATGGCTCAGTCCTCATGTCCATAAATGCCCTTCCTGGCACTAGGGAGATCAAAATTCAAGTTCTAGCCCGTCTACCTCTCCAGATCAGGAAGGACATAAAACTGGCTACGGAACTTGCTTCTCAGATTAGAATTGGGAAACAGAAAACGTTTTCTATTTTCTTCATGACATCATCTCATCACATATCCCAACAGGCTGGAAAGTGGCGGTGTGTGATGTTTGCTAATGAATTACGAAACACTGGAGAAAGGAAAACCCATTTTTTCACCTGAGATATTGTCTTACCATTCTTTTTGAGAAGCAAACAATGAGTACATTAAAAAAAAGAATGTATAGTTTTTTTTTTTAACTTTCCCGAATTAGGTGCTTAGGAGACAGAACAGTTGCTGAAAACACAGAGATGGACAGATTAGGAGAACTAATTACTTTAGCTAGAGTTCTGAAACATGTGACCCTGATTTATTTATCACCAAATTCTCCATTTTACTCTTCTATATAATTGGTGGTGATTTTCCAATAGTGACGTCAGGCAGCAACCTAGGGCCTTAGACACACCACTCTCAGGTGCACGCCAGACCTTAAGATTCACCAAACACACTGATGTTTTTATTTTCACTTTGTCTTTTACATAATCATAAAATGAAAAATAAGAATATATGAATACACACAATCTATATACATATATTTATTGCAAATACTTAAAATTCTTATGTAAAATGATTTTTCTATATTTGTGAAAAAATATGACTTCTTAAATGGTGTTGACACCAACTTCTCTGTACATACCCTCAATTCCAATGTTAACAATTCCTTTAAAAAGGCAAAATACACAAAAGTTTATCATTTACCCAACCAGTCTGTACAAACCTTATAGCCAGAAGGAAAAAAACAGCTTGTGGTAAATAAGTCAATTTTCTTTTGAAATAAAAATAAACTCCAAAACGATTCCCCTTATTGCATTTTCTGGAAATAATCTGAGTGTCTTTAGAGTAACTTCCTTTGAAATAATTTGTGCCTTAACAGTGAAGTCCTACATTAAACATACCACTGTCACTTTTTACATAGATATTAAAATATATATTAGTTAAAATATATTACTGGAAAGCTATTTTTAAAATTGATCTTTAATAGTTGTATCAAATGTAAAGCATTAAAAAAAATAAAGTAACCAAGAATCTATGAAGCTCTTACTTCAACTTTAGGAAATGCTTACCTATTGTTCCCCTTCAATAGGTATATAGGTATTGAAACATGGTAGGAAAGATCCCTGCCTATCATCATGTTTCTCACAGTCTCTTTGGACTATTCTATAAACTGAGCTGAAAACTATCCTTGGCCGAGTTTTTACTTAGAACATTGTTGTACACTGGGGAGACTTTTTCCTCCTGGCCATGAAGTGAAACCTCTAGGTCCCAGAGAAAATGACCCTAGCACTGCTCACTGAAAGCGAGTTCCAGAAAGAAACAGCAGTGTGCTAACTAGAGAAGACCCCCTCATTATAACAAATCATTTCCCCTTAGAGTTCTTCAAGGACTCTCAAGGCGGAGAAAGGCAATAATAAGCAATTAGGATGCTGACTGGCAGATCATTAATATGCATGAATTCACACCTTCACCTGGAAGGAAGTGAGGTCTTCCTTTGCCTATTTAAATCTGAGATAATTCCTAAAATAGCTACATCTGCATGCCTCCCCTACTCACAAGAGAAAATTCCCATTTGCCAGATCTTATTTTAAAAATATTACAAAGAATACTACAGGTAGCTTCATTGTCTTGAACATAGATAGGGTTTAAGGAATAGAAGTAGAGCAAACACTACAGGTTATCTGGCTGTCTAATATGATGGAGAATTTGAATAAAAGTTCTTATAGATTCAGAGAGCCTTCTCTACTAGACAACTTAGAACATTCATAAGTAAGCCTGAGATGATATATATTGCTAATGCTATCTTCCCTGGCTAACCTGCCATGAAAGGTATCTGAAGGCTTGAGATGCATACCCTGGAGGCATACGCATCAGGCATAATAATGCCTGACTAGTCACTAGAAACAGTGCAACTTAAAACCATAAAAATAAGCTTAGTATTTTTATTAGAAATATTCCAGATTTAATTTCAGTAACTCAGAAACCTAACATAAAAACTGCTTTAAATGTACTGGCATACCATACTCTAATAATTTCAAGATTTTCCTGTTCCTACTCCTTCATTTTCAAAAGGGCCACAACACTGTAATTTTTCTTTTTCTGTTCAGTTCAGATGAATTTCTACTTGAAACCACTGTTTTGAAACACATTGATAAGTGGATTGTATTAAATTTTCTACCAACCAAAGAGAGTCTAACTATTCTCTCATTTGGTCAAGATTGAGGCTGTGAGTGTACCTAGCTGACAATGTTTTAGGGGCATTCATAAATGCAAAAACTTTATTAGCTGGGCATTATTTGTTAAGAGAATCTAGTGTATAGCAATGCTTAGGATTTATCTGCAAGAGCCTGGGTCAAGATGAAGAGGCACAATATGGTTTGCTCTCTAAATGGACATGAACATCCCTGATGCCTTTCCTCCTTTCCTGGTTTGTCTGTCCATCCTCAGATTTAGGGGAAAGATGGAGGAGAGACTTCCTGTGACAGAAAATGTGTTAAGAAGAAAAATCCCTTCAACCGATTCAAACTGGTAATTAATGTTTAGCACGTGGCTGGTTCTGAAACACTCAACTACTTCCAACATGCAGACCAGGCCTCAGTCCCACCACTTAAATGGGGACTGAAGAAACTGGGCATGCAGAGTTTTAACCAGCAACAGGTCTTTTTAAGCCCCGACCCCCATCCCTGGAACAACCAGGGTATACTGGAAATTAGGGAACAGAACCATGGTTTCTGTTTCCCACTGGTTCGTGGCTGGAGAACTCACTTCTTAACACTGGATCCTTGCAGCCTTCTTATCTCTTAGCGATGTGTGTGTTGGAAGAAAAAGGGAAGTTAGGAGGTCATGATAGTCTCTTGGCTGAAACTAGAATACAGGCATCAATCCTGTATTTGCCAGGGGCCACAAAAAAAACATAAATGAAAAACAAAAAATAGTGAAGCAGTAAGTTCCTTAGGGAGTTTGAGAGTATTAAGAGTATATAATGAGGAGGGTGGGGTGAGGAGGGGTGGGCAGCTGAATGGGGGCAAAGGGAAGATTATTACTGCCTACTTTTTCCTCATCTGGAATGTGACTTAACAAGTTTACACTGTTCTGCATGTTTAAATATCACAACCTGAATATTAAGTTCAACTACAACTGTACTAAACTGCAGTAATATTTTTCCACACTTGAAATTAGGAACCTTGAAATCAAATGCAAATGATGAACACTGACAATATCTGATTTTTTAACACCAAATTCTGAAAATTGTAGATTTCTTTCAATGTTCTTTAACCATGACCTAAATAAATGTCTCAAAACTTCTTCCATCATTATAGACAGGGTTAAAAAAATAACAAAAAGATAAACAAAAAAACAAAAACAACAACAAAACTTTGGAGCTAATTTCTCTTCCTTTCTAAATTGTTCCCTTAGCTATCCACTTAGGCCCCCTTAACATGAGAAATTTCTAGTGCACAGAAAGCAGTAATCCAAAATGGGGACATATCTTCTAAAGTAGTTAAGGTGTCTGACTTTTACTATGCATGTGTGTTCAAAGTAATAGATGATAAGATTACTCCATACTCCTCAGAGGCCTGAGAGGTCAGAGCAGAATGGGCAAATGTGGCATTAATGAGCTTTTCTACCTGCATCAACAGCTGACACTAGAACATTAGGTAAGGGGTCAGCAGAGAAGAGGAAAAGAGGGGTTACCTTGTTTCTAGTGTTAAAATCATTTTCCAAAGTTCTTTAGGTTCACTTTAACAGGTTTTGCCCCTTTATTCTCCTTGCCCAAGAAAACACACATAGTTCAAATCACCCCATTGCTAACACTTCCCTGTTAATTTTATACTAGTATTTCAAACCTATTTGCAAGTTCCCATGAATGATGAAGTACTTGGATATTATTGCTGGAACTGTCAGCCTGCACAGGCTATGGTAATACAAGAGGCCCAGAGAGGCGTACCCTTCATGGGACCACATGCACTGTCTCAGGGAAGAAGAGTGGGATTAGGCAAAAGCAAGGATCCACAAATTGCAAGCAGAGTGCTTGACAACTGTACTGGTTTATGGAAGCCAAGAACCAAGCCTTGAGGTTTCAGAGTCTGACATACTACCTGTGACATTAATACCTTCTCACAAATTTTAACTTATAAAGGTTCCCTCTAAGGTAAAGAGACTGAGTAAACTCTGAATTCAGATCGTGCAAAGGCTGAATATGTAAGCCTGCAGTCAAAACTGACATCATCACAAGGAAATCATTTCTGCAGGCCATTCCTTCACTCCTTCCCTTTTCTAGCCTCTTAGGAAAGTGGACAGAAGGGAGACGGCTTCCTTTCACCAGGCACGGCATTCAACTTTTCTCAGTCATGGAAAGTAAAACATAAATCTGAATTCAAAGCACTACATTACTTAAACACTTGGAAAAATAATGTTAAAACAAAATGTGACATATTTACATGATTTTGTAAGTGCAAACTTGTCACAAATTCACAAAGTCTTGCTTGACTCAGACTTACTATACAAGGTGCTCTTCCTCTAAAATGTTAAGATCTGTACTTTGTATTCCTGATTAAGTAACATTTGTCTCTTATGAGAACAGAAACCTACTCATTTATTTCTGTGATTCCAAAAGGATGCAAAAAAACACTTGACAACCCTTCCCACCTCCTTTATAGTGTGTTCCCTTTCTAGTTTCATTACCGAACAACAAGGCAGGAGACACACAGTTTAGAGGGGCCAATGCAATCATCGTGGCAGAAAGCTCCACACCCCTTACACATGATCATGGCTTTCAATCGGCAGTAACATTTGGAAGGTGTGTCCTCTATGCTGTTCTCTTCCGGAAAGGCCTGAACAGGAATGGTCTGGGCATGGCTGCTGGGATTCATAGCTTGACTAGCAGGGATGGTAGTGACAGTCACAGAAAAGGACATGACATCACCTACGTTGCTAGATACCTGGCTACAGTCAGGCATCCCCGGTACAGCAGAGTTATGGTCCATGTCAGATGAAGTGGAGACATTGATCATGCCTCTGTAGCTTGGCCCAATCTGTGTGGGGCTTCCATAAAGCTTTGGAGTTTGCAGTGGTGGAAGGAGGAGAGGCTGATGGGTGGGACTATCTGCAGGTAAAGGAAGAATGGTAGAATCGAACAGCTCAGGACTGCTATGCATTGTCTTACCTCTTACTGCTTGAGCCATTTGCTTCTGTGCTGCCTGAAGAAAATCTCTGGCTAGGGTCTTTTCATCAAATGTTTGGCCTCTAGTGAACAGGTAATTCTCCTTGCTTAAAGTGGTTTGCTCATGCACTGGTGTTTCTGCCTTCACATTCTTTTTAGCTAAACCATCACTGGTCGATAGAGCTTCTCTTATGTGGGGTCCTGAACTTGCTTCACACTTGCCAGAGCTCTGAAAAGCCTGGGGCTCCTCCTTCACCATGACAGATTCCTGCTCATCACCAGTACTTTCCTCGTCACTGTCTTCTTCCCTGCCACTGCTACTATCACCTGTTGCACATTTACTGTCTGTATGTCCCATTTTCAAGGCCTCTGTGGGGCTGCTCACACAAACACGGTCTTCTGTGTTGACAGAATGGGTCCTCCTCAAGTTCTCTGGACCCCGGCCATAGGTGGAAATATTGAGTAAGTAGTGACCTGCCATTGCAGGCTTTGATGTCCTTCTGCCAGCAAACCCCAGCATGAACCTCTGGCTTGTGGAGATGTCTTCTAACTGGAAACCTGAGTGAGTGAAGTTGAACTGAGCGGGCTGTACAAGGGAGAGAACATTCTGCCTCCGAACCCTCTGGATGAGAGTCTGAAGAATCTGATCTTGGGTTGCTCTACTCAGTCCTTCTTGGTATTGGTGTGTGTCAATGCAAGAGTCCCTCAGATCCTTACCTGAAAAGAGTTGAAAGGGTCTTGGAACCTGGGGGAGCTGCTTACTTTGCAAGGTTTTACTCAGCTGCTGTAGAGCTGGCTGAGATGGCCTCTCAGTACCTTCCTCTCCGGAGCTATTTTCTGTTATGTTGGTGCCTGTGAGTGCTCCTGCCCCCTTGTCCTCTTTTGTAGTCAGTGGAACAGTCTTCATTTCAACTTTGGTGAGAGGTTTAGGCAGAATTTGCTCCATGGGAACATCTTTGCCCTGGAGCAGCTGGGTGACCAAAGGATTATTAGCAGGGATACTAGAGCTCGGCCTTGGAATGGGTCCATTCATATTCATATTTACAGACGTTCCTGGAGTTTTAAGGCTAAAAGCTGCTGGCAAAGTGCTCGAGGATGGAGCTGATCCAGTAGGTGCTACAGTCACACTGGCCTGGGATACAGGAAGCTTTTCTAAAGTGGCTGTGGTTAATACAGATGTTAGAGCAGAGGGAGTTGCACCCACTGAAGCACTAGCTGTTGTCTCTGCTGAGGTCGAAGGGTTTGGTATGTTCTGACCAGAATCTGCTCTGGGCTCACCTGTGCCATCTGCTGAAAAATGAGCAGGTGAGGCCCCTGAGATTAGAGCAGGATCTGTTGAAGCTGAAGGTGCCTTCTCCTGCCTGCAAATATTGGGCCCTTGCAGAGAGGCCACTGTGGCTGCTGTCCTGGCGTTGTTCAGTTTTTCATTATCCGGTCTCCCTAAAGCTGGTGGGGGTGTGTTAGTGTGGGCTGGTGATGGGACATCTGTGCAGGGTCCACTGATGGCAGATGCTGGAGGCACTGAGGGGGTTTGCTGTAGTTGTGCTCCAGAGACACTATGAGGCTGTGCCTGGTCTGGGGTCTTGGTCTCAAATTGGGGCTGAGTCTCTGGACCACAGGGTAAAAGCTCTCTCGTACCTCCCCTGCTTCCAGTTCCTGCCAGTTCCAGTGCGGGGCCCTTTCCAGTTTCACTGGCTCTGTCCGAGTCTGGACTCCCTCCTTTAGCAGTTCTCCTTTCCCCACCCTCTCCTGGACCTTGTCCACCCCCTGGGCCAGGTCCTGGAATGGTCCCTCCAACTGAGGCGGCTGCGGCGGCCGCGGCTGCAGCCGCAGCTGCTGCCCTCTGGGCTTTGACCAGCTGGGCTTTTGCTTTGATGTCTGCAAGAGTTCTGGCTCCTGTTCTGTTAGGACTAGTGATGGAGATTGGAAAACGAGCCCTGGGAGAGACCTGCGGTGTAGGAAAAGGCATGGGGGAGATTCTGGAGACCGGGATCTGGAAGAAGTAGAAGTGGGAGAAAAACAACAGAGCTTAGTTTTCATTTATAGGAACAATGAAACGTCATTACACTTAAATTTTTAGAGTAGGGTAAACTCTGTAGCACCATGACAAAGATGGGAGGTCTATGTCCAAGGGACAAAACCACGGAGACAGCAACAGACTTTGTCTCTAGGGTCCTTTTACTTCTTCTTCTGGTGCCAAAGACTCTCCTCCCTTGACATCCCCGCCCACCCCAAATCTCCGTACCTCTGTTGTCAACAACTCTCTCCTCAATCACTGCTACTCACAACTACTTATTATTCAAGATATAGGCTGTTTTATGGTATCTGCATTTAAAAATGTGAGTGAGAGAGAGAAGAGAGAAACAAAGTAGCATACCACTACTCTCCTTTACTTCTTAGCTTTACTACCAAGGTCCAGGGGGAAACCCTTGCTCCTTTCTGTTCCACATACACACACGCACACACATGCACAATGAAACACACAGGCTGAGTCACCGCAAATCACAAAGGCTACATAACAGCACTGAAAGCAGATGGTGGGTCACCCACTCTGCCCACCCAACACAAGGGGATGTATATAATGTTTACTACAGTCAAGCTCACCCTGGGCTGGCATTATACTTACTTGTAGAACTTTTTAAAAATACATATGCTCTGAGCCCTACCTCAAAATTTACAAATTAGAACGTCTAGGGAAAAAAATGCTTTCTTGAAAAGCTTCTTGTGAGATTATGATACATCATCAGATTTGAAACCACTGATTTTCATGTCATAAAATATTATATTTTAAAGGAATCTGACTCCTTTTTGAAACAATACTTTGAGATCTACTGGAGTTATTATAGTGCATCAAGATCCAGACCCTTCTAGTATCTGGGAGAGTTTAAAGGAGCAAATAACTATTACAAATGTTCTAGGGTGTTTCATTATGAAAAAATAAAAATCAAGCCACTGAGCTCTAAGAAAACGTTTGCCATTTTTCTGGAATTCCTTAAATTAAGAATAAAGTCACTAAAAATTTTTTGTTATTTGTAATACCCACCTTTCAGGTGGCCAGCAGTCCTGAAAAATTGATATTCTGTCATTCAAAAGTTAAGAGCTGTGGGACTTTGTAACAGTTGTCATAAAGTCCACACACTTCACATCATGAGATGAGAATCTCTCTCTAAAGCAGAATCTATTTTGCACCCAATTACACATATTAGAAATTTTGCACACAGTAAGAAAGAAGCAATTATCCCTTGGTAGTATCAACTAGAATAAATGACTAATAAGAGGGGGGGAAACCTAGAAAACTAAATTCAAAGCACAATTGTTTAAGGAAATTGCATATAGGGACAAAAAACCTTACATTAGAATAATCTTGAGTAACAACATACCTACCTAACATGAAAATCATTACTAACATGTTGGTTAGGTACAGACAATCAATAAAAGGAGTTAAAACAAAAGTTTTAATACTTAAAAATTATGTTATAGTTATTTATTTAAATAGCCTTATTACCTGTTTACCTGGAGTAAATGAGATGTTCTACTTTCTTACGTATAAAAGCACTAAAAGCTGTCTAGGCACTGGTAACAATTTAAAAATTTGACTTACTGAGGAGCCCTAACCTGGTATAACAAGGACTTATTTTTCTTTTTAAATGTATTCTGAATAGAAAATATATAATGTGTTTTGAGTTTTCCTCTCTCTCCACAATGTTATATTATAGATATGCATATGTTATAACACATGTATATATATATGCACTTTTTATATACATGTATAACATTGATAATAAAATTCAAGTTTTATTTTTCTACTTAAATTTTGTTTAAATGTTCTTGTTCTATTCTATATTATATTAAGCTTTGTCTAAGAAAGTGGGATTTGAGGTAAGGTCTAGAGTAAGGTAAGAGAGTTAATAGAGCAACTTCTGGTAAAAAGTCATTTTGGAGGAGCTGAGAAAGAAGAAAGGAATGAAAGGAAAACAACTAAACAATATTAACTTGGTTACATTGGATTTAAGTTTTCAGTATAGAATCTTTCTGGACTAGCAGAAAGCAGACTGAATATGATGTAAGTCAGACTCTTTACACATGAGGAAATAGAAATGATGAATCCTACCCAGTGTCACTTATATAAAGTAGAACCTAAACTGTAACTCAGCTCTCAGATCTGGAAATAAGTTCTGACTGACCTTCATTAAAGGAAGATTTCTAATATTTTTGCAAGGATAGTAACAGTGATTTTCATAAAAATCAGAATCTCTGGCAAAACATGACAGTTTAAGTTAACAGTAGGAAAGTATCAAAAAATAATAAAGTGAGAAATTCCTAAGTGCTGACACCACAAATTTTAAAATTAAAAAGTAATGGAGAGAGGAGCCAAGATGGCCGTGTGAGTAGAGCAGTGGAAATCTCTTCCCAAAATCATATATATTTTTGAAAAACAACAAATACAACTATCCCTAAAAGATAGACCAGAAGATACAGGACAACAGCCAGGCTACATCTACACCTGCGAGAACCCAGCGCCACATGAAGTGGGTAACATACAAGCTGTGGCCCGGCGGGACCCGAGCATCCCCCATCCCAGCTCCCGGCAGGAGGAGAGGAAGGGAGAGGGAGCCCAGAACTGCTAAACACCCAGCCCTAGCCATCTGCACCGGGAACACAGATACACAGTGGTACACAGTGTGCAGTGTGCTGGATAGTAGGGAAATGGGACAGTAAAACCTGCGAGCGGGTCCCTGCAGCCAGCACCCCTGGGACAAAGAAAAGCGAGTACTTTTTGAAAGTCTTAAAGGGACAGGGACCCTACAACTGGAAGGAAGAGTCCCAGGACACTCGGCCCAGCAGCTGGGAATCCTGGGGAACTCTGGGCGCCCTAACCCCCTGGGCAGCAGTGCAGTTCTGAGGCCACTCACAGCAATAAACAGCCTTCCATCCGATCCCCCTCAGATGTGGCCCCGCCATAGCAGAGCAGCAGCCTGAGAACGGCCAAGCTCACAGCAACCACGGACCTTACTCCACAGAGGCCGGGCAAGAATCAGAAACCCCGTCTGTGTGCAGCTGCCAAGCACAAGCTGCTAGGGGTCGCCGTTCTCCAAGGAGAGGAAGGCCACAAACTAACGAGAAGGGATTTTCTCCCAGTCGACACACACGCCAGCTCCCCACAACTACCTCTATCGCCATGAAAATGCAGAAAAATTTGATCCAGACCAAAATAACAGAGACAACCCCTGAGAAGGAGCTTGGCGAGACAGACCTAACCAATCTC